ACGGGTCAGTCATGCGGTGCACATAGCAGCAGCCCCGGGGGTCAAGGTGTGATCGGGTGAAGGGATTTCACAGATGAATATCTAACTGCAGTGCCCCTTCTGGCTCTAGGGCAGGTACTCAGATCAAAGAGCCCCTCCGATAGAAGGGACAGGGCAATTCCTGGGAATTACATAGAAACTGGAGAGGGGGCCGGCTTTGTGAAAGTGGTGATAACCGAGCAGAATGCTAGAGCTGCATCTATTGAGCCTTTATTAAACGCCACACTTGAGTACTTTATGTACAGCTATGTTTACATGGTTAGATCCCCAGGACGGGTGCAAATTCCCATTTGAGAGTGAACACATTAACTTAGCCCAGATCTGACTAGTAGGAGAAACTGGGACCCCAGGAGGGCCTGTCTGAATCCAGAGCGCTTACATCTGAAGGCTTTAGGAGCATGCACCTCTGTGCTGCCTGAATGAATAGTTAGCACCGTGGCTTTGGGTCTGGGGGGTTCTGCAGGGCTTCGGTGTTCTTCCTACTTGTGGTAGCCAGTTTTGTATGTCCACGTTGGTTTTGAGAGTTGTTGAGGGGTGCCTGGTCTGAGAGAACGGGTTGGGACGTCCAAGTCAGTTGCACAGACTTTGGTGTTCTCTGGTATCGTCCTATGCAGAGATGGAGGCCGATTGTATTTTCTTAAGTTGTTCTAAGTCTTTTGTCACACAGTGCCTTGATGACCGTGTTTTTGGCTACAGGAGAGTGTCATCAAGTGTCTTTGAAGCTCAGTTACTGGATTTGTAGGACATTTGAACTGAGTACTTATTAAAGCACAAGTATTCTGTGACTCCAAGATGTCCTCCTTTGAAGAAGGGAAGGCAAGAAGAAGGGCAAAGTGAAGGACATTAGGGGGAAACATCACAGGCGCAGTCCTGATTCACTTAATTGCTCACTGAGAGCCTTCTCACTTCTACCATGTAAGACACCTTGTCAGGTGTGGGAAATACAACAGGGACAGAATTGATGTGACCCTGTGCCCTTAGGCAGGAATTAGACTCCAAGCCAATGCTCTTGTAGATGAATGGGTGATTGCAAGCTATCTTACAGTAAAGGTGAGGTGGAGATTATAATAAACGTTTCGATTTAGATGGAAATCTAGGGAGCTCTCTTTTTAAAAAACTGATAGTGGGAGATTTTCCTAGATTTCAGTCTCTGTTCTGAGGATGTAATCACATAGAACAGTAGGTAGCTTAAGAACTTTTTTGAGCAACTATTATTATTTTTTTTTTTATTTCAGTATCTCTTTCCCATCAGATTGTCATTCCAGCTTACATTGCAAGATACCTGAATGAGATAGGGAATGTTTCCAAGCATTTATTTTACCTGCCTTTAGGGTGCTTAAAGTTTAACTATTCTTGTAGTGCTTCAGTCTTCTCCCGATGGATAGTTCAGAAGCAAGAATCTTTTATATGAGCTTTGGATTGAAGGTATGATTTAGACAGTCCTCCTAACCCCTAAGTTGGCACAAAGTGACAGGCTTTTCTAATTCTCGATAAGCAGAATCAAATTTTCAAAAGTTCTTTGTAGTTTATATCCTACTGAGTAACATATATTTCAGCTCTTGGCTGGGTGTAATGGCACACACCTTTTATCCCAGAATTTGGGAGGCAGAGGCAGGTGAATCTCTGAGTTCAAGGCTATCCTGGTTTGCATAGGTCCAGGATAGTCAGAATCACATAGTGGGACCCTGTCCCAAAAAACCAATCAGCCAAACAAATTCCAGTTCTTAGGATGCAAGAAAAACCAGGCATGAATTTGGAAGTATAAACTGCTAACTCTATAAATATTTTAGTCAAGCTTTTAAAACTGTCATCTGTTAGATTAGTTGAGCCTTTAAAGAGGTTAATATGATGAGCAGGAATTTCCAGAAAGCGGAGATGTTAGACGTAAAGTTTCATGGCACGGTGATAAATCCATGAGCTGAGAGAAGGTACTTGTTGAAGTTTATTGGGAAGAAGTAGGTTTTGGATGTGATAGAACAGTTCCTAGGTTTAGCAGTGTCCGGTTGGAGTTGCCTTCTCTGTAGGGTACTGGTTTAGTGTTCAGAAGGAGAATGGACTTAAGCCATTTGGGGACCTTCTGTTGGAGAGAGGATAGTATCTGAAACCATGAGCATGTCGGGCTGCCTATGGAGGATCACGGAAGAGCAGAAAGAAGCCTGCGTTAGTACTGAGTAGAAGTAGTTTGCAAAAGAGAGAAAAGAGTGGCCTATTAGTTATTGTGACAAAAACAATCTGCTCAGAGAAGGCAGGAAAGATTTCTTTTGGTTCATAGTTTCTTTCTTCCTTTCCTTCCTTAACCTTCCTTTCTTCCTTCCTTTCTTTTTTTTCGAGACAGGGTTTTTCTGTGAGACAGTCCTGGTTGTCCTTGTCCTGGAACTCACACTGTACACCAGACTGACCTCGAACTCACAGAGACTCACCTGCCTCTGCCTCCTGAGTGCTGGGATTAAAGGTGTGCACCACCACCGCCCGGCTTGGCTTATAGTTTCTAAGATGTCATTCTGTTTTAGGGGGAGGGCTTGTTGAGAGCATTTCATATCAAGGTGGCCAGGGAGTAGAGAAAGGGGAATGTTGGAAGGTCCTAGGGCAAAATAAAACCCCAAGGATTCCCCCTAGTGGTACACTCCTCCAAAGACCACCTCCTAGTTATGCTGTGCTATGATTCCATCAAGGGGTTAGTGTGTCTATGGCTGGAACTCTGTGATCTAATTGTCTCTGGAAATGCCTTCACAGACCCTCTCCCATAACCAGGGGTATGCTTTATTAATCTCCTAGGTATTTATTAATCCAGTCGAATTGACAGTCTGGAGTAACCATTTCAGGACAGTGAGAAGATAGCCAGAGGTAGTCACTGCCGGGGAGGCAGTCAGGATTATACAGTGCTCCTGTGAGTTCTTGGTGACCCCTGCCAGTGTGGTAGGATGGGTCAAACCAGAGGTGAGGAAATGAGACAATCGAAAGTGTTTCCCATAGGTTTTTTGCTTGTTTTGAGAGTGGGTCTCTCTCTATGTGGTCCTGGCTGTCTTCCAGGCTGGTCTTCCTCCAACTCACAGAGATCCTACTGCCACTACCTCTGGAGAGCTGGCATTTAAAGCTTGTGCCATCGTGTCTCACTACTAACAGAGTTTTTGTTTTTTGCTTATTTTTATTTTTTTGTTTTTCCTTGAGACAGGATTTCTCTGTATAACCTTGGTTATTCTGGAGCTCACTATGTAGATCAGGCTGGCCCTGAGACTGGAGATCTGCCTGTCTCTACCTCTCAAGTGCAGGGATTAAAGAAACACACCACCACTGCTCAGCCTGTTAATAGAGGTTTTGATCTATTTAAGGGAGGCTTGGTGGATTATAAATAGTTACTTATTTGAGTAAGTTGCTGGGGCATGGGAGGAATTGGTACTTTTGCACTCATAATCAAGAGTATAAAATTCCATACTTTCCTTTAAGGCTCTTTTTTTGGTAATTTTAAAATTTTATTCAGCCTAGCTTTACTTTGTTTCTAGTTTTCAAAATGTTCTTAACATTTTACATTTGTGCATATCTTAATCACTTTACTTTATTTCATAAAAGGCTGTAGGGAAAATTCACAAAGAAACACCGTCTCCTTGAGTGTTCTTTGTAAATACTAGTCATTTTGCCAATTCTGTGCATTAGTACTTGCTTCCTGTAAGAATTTTCCTGTAAGTGTAGCTCACCATCGTCCCCCACTGTAGTTTGGTGGACAGAAACAGGAGGCAGGGTGCTAGGGTTTGAATCCTCTCACTTATTGGACGACTGTCCTCTGACTTTTAGTTAGCTTTTCTGTGCTTTGGTGTATTTACCGAATGGTCATAGGAATTGAACCTTTTGCTGACTGTCGTGAGAGAGAGAATTTATGTGTCTACAGTATTGTTGTCAATAAACATGAGCTAATTTTGTTTTCAGATAATCCAAAGTTTATTGCTCCCCCTACCCTTTTTTTTTTTTTTTTTTTTTGAGACAAGAGTTTCTCTGTGTAGTCTTGGCTGTCTTGGAAGTCTGTAGACCAAGCTAGCCTCGAACTCACAGGGATCTGCCTGCCTCTTCCTCCAAGTGCTGGGATCAAAGGTGTGCGTAACCACCACCTAGCTTCTCTTCTTGAAGTAGCATTAACTTTTGTAAACAGTCGTGTCATACGGAACTGTCTTATGTGTTAGAACCTCTTTTTAGTGGTGTTAGAGGTACTGTATGTAAATAAACATTGACTAACTTTTGTTCTGTTATTTTAAAAATTAGTAACATGTATACATGATTATGTGTGCCTGTGTGCATGTCACAGTACACATGTGAAGGTCAGAAGACAACTTTGGGGTCGGTTTTCTCTTGCTTTTATGCTTTTAGGGGTTGAGCTTAGTTCACCAGGCTTATGTAGCAAGCCATCATTGGCTGAGCCATCTCACTGACCCCCTGGTTTTGTTCTGTTTTATTAACCATTAGTTAATTTGGATTTGTGATTTAATTTTCTCGGGAAAATTAAATTTCTACGTGTAACACATTGTAAGCGGGCTGACATTGTAGCATTTTCACCCAGGTAACAGGCAAATGCCTTTTGTTATTTAAAAGGTTTATGTCATATGACATAATAATTCAGATGGCATTTCTTTCTTTTTATTTTGAAACAGGGTCTCACTATTTACTCCAGGGTGGCCTTGAACTTGAAGTGAGGCTCAGGTTGGCCTTGAAGGTGAGATCCTTCTGCCTCAGCCTCCTGAATCAACTTTGAGTTGCTGAGTGGAGGAGGCACCATTGCCACCCGTGTATATAAAACTTGGTATGTAAATTGGAGCTAGTCAACTTAATTCTCAGACTTTTTTCTTTCTACAAAAGGTTTTTCTTTTGGTGGGTGGGGGCAGGTCTTTATTTTTTTTATGTAACTCTATACTACTAGCCTTGATCTTAAAATCTCCTGTCTCAGTCTCCCAGGTGCTGGGGTTACAAACATGCAACACTGTGCCTGTCTCTTAGCTTTCCATTTCAGTCTTTGTAATATGACAGTTTAAATTCTTACCTCACAGTTTTGTTGGCTGAGGAAGGAAACAACAGTTTAGGGGACACAGCTAAGTGCTTGCTGCTTTCCTTACCCCTCTGCCTTTCTCCTCTGTTGTAATTTGCTTTTTCCTATTTTCTTCTCCTGTCTACTTATTTTTGTGTTACATAGTAGCAAACATTCTGAATCTGGTAAGTTAACAAACTTTATAGTTTACATTTTAAAGGGATTGGTTGAAAGTATTCCTTATGTTTTATCAAGCTCCGTGAAGATACTATAAAGTGTAGTAAAGGCCAAGGGGTGGGGAGCTCCTGTTTGGCCAGAGTAGCCAGGGAAGGGTCAGCTAAATGAATGAAGTGAGCCTTGAGGTGGGTTTGAGGAAAACAGGAGTTTAAGGAAGGTGCTTACAGTGGATATTGAGAGGCAGTGCTGGAAGCACATCTTCATCCAACATTGAAGGTCAGCTATTGAGGACTAAGGAGGGTAGGGGAGGCATGGAACAGGGGCTTGAGAGATAGATCCAGTTAAGACCCTGCATGAATTTTATTCAGTGAATCAACTGGGATATAGCAAGTGAAGAAGACAACAGGAGCTTTTCACTTGTTACATACAGGAACTATGTTGAGACACTTACTCGTCTTGAGTTGATTGCCATGATGCTGCTAGGACTGGTGATGTGGCATTGTCCACAACCATTTGGCCTTCCCATTGAACTTAGTTTCTTGTCTGATTTTTCTCTTGCCATAAAATCTTCTTTCCCATCATAGTTCTTTATTTTCACTCCCCCTTTCCTTTTCCTTGGCTTCAGATTTTTGTTACTTGTGCCATAATTTATATGCTATACACACATGCACATGCGCACACACATATATACACACACTTATGAGAGAGAGACAGACAGACACAGACTAAGACTTTATATAGCCTAAGCTGTCCTTGTATGTTACCATCCTGACTGGCTTGTAAATTTTATGTGTTGACTACTTAGAAATTACTGGGGTATTTATATGGGTCTTTTCTTCTTTAGACATCTCAATAACTAAGATTCTCAGAAAACATCTATGTCAGAGACAGTGGGCAGTGCATAGATGGAGCCAAAGAGTGACACCAGACGCTTCTTCAAGAGCTTACATGCTTTCGGTGAGAGAAAGCAGGCTGCTACCGTGGACATGGCCAGGAATGTGGCAGGTCTTCTGGCTTTGAGCCAACAGGAAGAACTAATGGATTTGCCAAACCACTCCCCATTGAGTACAAGTGAAGATGAGGGGGACAGTGATGGAGAAAGAAAAAGTCAAAAGCTTCTGGAAGCGGTCAGTTCCCTTGGTGGAAAGAGTAGGTGGAAATTGGCAGAGAGATCTGAGGCTACTCTGGGGGTGTCAGAGTTCAATGTTACTTCTGACGGGTCAGGTGAAAAGCTGGTTCTTTCAGATTTGCTTGAGTCTTCTACAGCCTTATCTTCATTGGCTGCTGTGAGAAAACAACTGCTTAGAGTCAAGTCGAAGACTCTTGCGATACCCCTTGACAAAAAAGAGGCCGATCAGATCCTCAGGGAGGCAGCATTCAGCAAAACCGCACAAGTGCTCTCCAAATGGGATCCTGTTGTTCTGAAGAACCGGCAAGCAGAACAGCTGTTTTTTCCCATGGAGAAGGAGCTGCCAGCTGTTGCTCCCGTTGAGCATGCATTCACTGGCTGGAAAACAAGAACCCCCCTGGAGCAAGAAGTTTTTAACCTTCTCCATAAGAACAAGCAGCCAGTGACAGACCCTTTATTGACTCCTGTAGAAAAAGCCTCCCTCAAAGCCATGAGCCTGGAAGAAGTCAAGATACACCGAGCAGAGCTTCAGAAGACGCGAGCTCTGCAGTCCTACTATGAGGCCAGAGCTCGAAGAGAGAAGAAAATCAAAAGTAAAAAGTATCACAAGTTTATGAAGAAAGGAAAGGCCAAGAAAGCCTTCAAAGAGTTTGAGCAACTGTGTAAGGATGACCCAAGTGCTGCATTGCAAGAACTGGGAAAGATGGAAGAGGCCAGAGTGCTGGAGCGGATGAGCCTTAAACACCAGGGCAGTGGGAAATGGGCAAAGTCAAAGGCAATTATGGCCAGATATGACCTGGAGACTCGCCAAGCTATGCAGGAACAATTGGCTAAGAAGAGAGAACTGACACAGAAACTCCAAGTAGTTTCCGAGAGTGAGGAGGAGGAGGAGAAATGCACAGAAGAAGGGATAATCTCTGCCTCTGATGGGATGAACGACCTACAGATGAATGCAGCTGGTGTAAATCCTTGGATGCTCAGGAGTTGCAACAGCAGTGCAGGAAGGGGTGAGCTCAAGACCGACCCTGAACAGCTGCCCCAACAGGTGGCCGGTGGGTTTTCTGTAGGGGAGGAAGATGAAAGACCAGTGGCAGAAGAACTTGTGTTGAAAGAAAGATCCTTCCAAGAAAGAGTTGAACCCAACAGTGCTAAGCCAATGGGTGGCCAAGAAGCAGAAGTCTCTTCAGATTGCCAAGAGGAAGTATCTGAATCTAGGGTATTGCTTCAGAAACTCCACAAGGAAAATGATCAATCTGAGCAGCAAAATGTGAGTTCAGTGGGAACTGTTCTCCAGATCCAGAGAGAGGAGCTTGCTCAGGAGGAGAGCCTGGTGCCTCAGAGGCTAGAGAGAACACATGTTCTGGAAGAACAAGGAGAGTTGGGCAAAGAGGGACGTTGTCAGAAAAAGGGGCATCCCAGACCTATGTTAAAAGGAGAGTGGAAAAAGAGGAACCCACACAGTGTACTTGATGTCTCTAGAAGGGAGAAGAAGGATCAGATGATTGATCTACAGAAACTCCTAACAACTAGATCTCCTGTGAAATCCTTGGCAGTACCCACAGTAGTGGAGTTGAAAGATGAAGTGGAGACAGACCACAAGCAGATAATAAAGGAAGCTTTTGCTGGGGATGATGTCATCAGAGAGTTCTTAAAAGAGAAAAGGGAAACTGTAGAGGCAAATAAGCCAAAGGACTTGGATCTGACATTGCCTGGATGGGGTGAGTGGGTTGGTATGGGCCTGAAGCCTAGTGCCAAGAAGAGACGCCGTTTTCTTATTAAAGCTCCTGAAAGTTCTCCAAGAAAAGACAAGAACTTGCCAAATGTGATTCTCAATGAGAAACACAACATCCTTGCAGCAGCTCATCAGGTGCATGCTATTCCACACCCATTCACCCACCACCAGCAATTTGAAAGGACTATTCAGAACCCTATTGGGTACACATGGAACACCCAGAGGGCCTTCCAAAAGCTGACAGTTCCCAAGGTTGGCACCAAACTAGGCCATATTATTAAGCCCCTAAAAGCAGAAAATGTGGGCTACCGTTCTTCTTCAAGGTCCGACCTGTCTGTCCTACAGAGCAGTCGGAAGCGTCTCTCCAAAAAGCAGCAAAAACAACTGAAGGCAAGCTCTGCAGATTGAACTGCTAGGGGACTAGCATTTTGGTTCCTGGGACAAGGATTCTTGAGGTTTCTTTTGGTTGCTTCATAGTGCTTTAGGGACATTTGCTTAATTGGAGCAGAACCCTGTGTAGTTCTGCCACATTGTAGAAATAAGACAATTTTATCTAGTACAGAGTTTCCATTCCATTTTGAGATATGTGATAAAGTCAGAAATGGGAAAAATGACTACCATAAGCTAGAGTACCTATGTAGTTCCTGTCCTAGGATTAAAGAGGGATCAGTGAGTGGACAGAGGTTCAGGCTGGGATAGGGCGGAAGAATCATGGGCAACAAAGAATGCTCATTTAGTTTAGATATTAAATTAATAGCTCCTGATGTAGTGGCACCTGTATGTAATCCAGCATTCTGAGAGGCCTAGGCAAAAGGATCATTTAGTTGAGGCTAGAGAATGAGAACTTGGCTTAAAAAAACGAACAATCCCGAAAATATTCTAGGAAGAGTTAACAGGTAAAATGAACAAATTTAGAGATTTGGTGAGCACAGTGAGAATAGATAGAAGTGACTAGAATTTATTTAACAATAAAGTGTGACAGAATTGGGTGTATTGAGAAGTCAGTTGTGGAGGGCCTTAAATGCTTTTCATAGACATTTGAAATTATGTTTTATTTCTTTCAGGCAATGTAGAGGAAATAAGACTTGTATAGGGCTTAGGTGTGCTGACATCTATGTTAAAGGAGTGTGGATGCCAAGCTGGCAGTGTGCTTGCTGGATGTATTGATGGGGTGAGAGTTAAAGACCTCAGCTTGTAGAAGTCAGAGTGAACATGGGCAGGAGGGCTGGATGATATAGGAAGTAAAACAGTCACTTGGCAAGAGATCTGAAGAATAAAGGAGAATGAAGATTTTACTGCGTGCTTTTAAGTTTTGAGCAGTGTTTTGTTTTATACTCCGGTTGGACTAAAACTTTGGATTTAAATTTGTAGCTATTCTTCTGCCCCCCACCTGTCTACCTATGATAAGGTCTCTCTGTACCCTGGTTGTCCTGGAACTTGCAATATCGACCAGGTTGGCCTGGAGCTCGCATAGATCCGCCTGCCTGTGCTTCTTAAATGCTGAGATCGTCAGGAAACACATTTCAAGTTAGTGTTTGGGTTTTCCAGGTTCTGTTTCTTGTTTAAAAAGGTCATATACTAGCTCAATGATTTGTGATTTTTAGTATATAAAATTTGTTCCTGTCTGAATGTGTAGAAATCATTTTATACATATTTCTTTCTTTATTATAACAATATATGTTCTATATAAAAATAAAAACATGTGTAAAAACATAAAGATGAAAAATTAAAAGTCAGTAC